ATTATTTATCTAGTTTAATTTTGATGTATTTAAAACTTGTTGGATTTGGTCGAGTTCCAAATATATTGTAAATTGTCAATAGTTGTCGCCACCACTGATAGCAAACATCACCTGCTTATGGCTACCATCACAACCCTCCTCTAATCAGCGCCATGACATGGCATTAGCCACTATCGACTATCGACCCCATCAGTCATTGTTGTCGCCACCACCATTTTCCGCTTCCACCACTAGCCATCAAATGTCATTGCCACACGTAGCCAACCAATACTAGAATGAAGAGTTGGCAATGATGGCACTTATTCGCATATTTTATGCAATATTGCATCATTAATGGCCAACAATAGCTAAGTCCTTTTTTAATTTTATCTTTAGGCTAGATTGATGGAACCCACATACTCGTTCATGTAACTCACGATATGACCTCACGGACTTTGTCTTTCCCAAGACAACTAAGCCATATTTATTTAAATAAGTTTCAATAAAGGGCACTATTGATGATAATGAGTGGCAACATTATAACTTTAATTTGAATTTGAATAAAACTATCATCACCTGCTTTTGGATCAGGACTAAAAAATGATATGTCACAAACGCTCATGCTGTTTAGTTGATGCAATTAAGGAAAAATCTTGCTTATTTAATGGTGCTACTTCAAAATGGTTAAGTGTGTGTGTGGCATAACCATTCTATTTTGGATTACCAACATCATGGGATCTCCATATGAACTTGACAATTCCTTGTCTAGCTTTCTAGAGCCTTTTTTTTCCATTAAGGGAACACAACACCTTAATCAATGCAACGTCAAGGATGCTTTCAATAGGTCCTCGATTCGCATATAATAGTATAGAGGTCATGCTTAAAAACTTCATTGATTAATGTAACTTGGCTGATCACTATTGAGTATTGCTATAAAATTTTATCTTCTTTATTTCCATGTTGATACAATTATTATTATTAATACTGGGACCTCCTATCCAACTTTATTGTTTATATGTGACTTCATCAAGCGATATGAATATCAAAGAATTCCATCTTAATAAGGCATAAAAGCTGATTAGGCCAATGCATGCCTTTACTTTATAAATTAGCTATAATAAGTTTACATTTATTGTAGATGCATCATCAACGTAGAATTCCATTATGAGGCATTGAACAAAAATATCTACTTATCCAATATATTATCATTTAGTTGTGCATCAACATGACTTGGGTGCACTACCAAGAAAAATTGGCAAAAAATTTTCTTTGATGTGAAATTGAAGTAATATTAAAGTATATCAATATCATCGCCTGCTTAGCAAGAAATCCAACTAGAGTGGAACAAGTTACTATGTATTACAAAAGATTTATCATTGAAATAAAATTTATTTGTAGATACTACATGTAATGTCTCAACTTCTGGATCATAAACACCAATGCGAAATCGTGCTTTTATATCAGCGCATATTTTATTTTAGTGTGAATAAAATGATAAATGAGGAGTATAAGGTATTTTCCTTGTTGTCTTTATTGGTTTGAGCCAACAACATTTCAATTGAATCATCTAACATTGTAGTATATATGTAGAATTATGAGCTTCCTTATAATTGGAGCAACCAATACTGGTGGATTTAGTAAGTAGTGCTTGATATCATCAAAAGCATCATGACATTCTTAATCTTAGTGGAAATGCATATTCTTTTTTGCCAAGGCAGCAAAAGGCTAGCATTACTTAGCCAAAATAGAAATAAACCTTACAAGGAATGCAACACTAATGATGTATAAAGCTATTTTAGGGTTCCATATATTGGAAAGCTTTTATTTTATTAGGACCGATTTATATGCCTCTATGTTGAACAATGAAACCTAAAAAGATACACCACGCACACACTTTAAGGGATTCATTTTAGGCCAATCCTATTTACCTCAATAGTCCTTAAGCTAATGGCATTGTTTTCTTCAAGTCATCCTTTAACAACCACATAATCAATATCACATTCTACTTGTTGATATAATTTTTTTTTTTTTTAAGATTGCAAAAGACTATATTTATGAGCTAGTAGTACATAGTTTATTTTTTATTTTTTATTTCAAATGGTTTGCGTTTAGAGCTTTGAATGAGAAAAGCTTCTGCCCATTATCAAATAATTATAATATCTCAAGTAATTAAGAGGAAAAATAAAATCAAAATTGCTTCTAAGGTTTTACGTTGGAGTAAAAGAAAAGCCCGAGTCATATAACATCATGGGCTTCGTAGGTAGTGAGTTCTCACAAAGCATCAATTGTACTTTATTCCAATTTGTAGAGTCACTACCTTATTATCAAGTCATTTTGTAGGTGTATTCAATTCTTGAAACCATGATATGTTTCTAATGTCAACTATCACCTCTATATCTTTATAGTTGTCTTCCAATCTTGGTATCCATACCTTAAATAAAGATAACTATTCTTTATTAATTAGCCAAAAAAGGTCAATGGCGCATGAATTTGTTGTGTCCATCTTTTCTGATGAATTTGCAAAGCTTTCAAACAAAAATATCTTAATATGTTATCACCTTCTTTGATAAGTAATTAGTTTTACATAAACTAACAAGAGCAGGTTAACATCTCTTGACTCCTTTATCTTTTATATGTATATATATGATAATAAGGGATTGGTTAACATTGGTTATCTCCTCCACCTCCTTCATCATCTCATTTCCTTTCTCCACCTCATCCCAACCTTAACAAAATGAATAGCTAAGTTCAATGGAAAATACCCCCTTGATTTCATTCATATTTTCCTTCACTGCTATATGTATAAAATTTTGAAAGAAAAAAATTATCATAGCAACCAATTTCTACTCCAACCTTAATTGATTAGTCTTCAATCGAAACTTGTTTTTCTTCAACTCTTATATAGTAACAAAAAAGTTGTTCAACTCTTCGGAAAAGGACAAGGACTAGCTTGTAGATAAATGATGTTCATCTCCATTTTCTTACTTTTTCCAAGGTGTGACCACTATATTCGGTAGGAGTATGTACAATGAATGCGTAGAAGTAATCTTCATAAGCTCTATGCACTAGTGTAAGAGGAACAATCACCTATAAATAATAATTTAAATGAAGATTTAATACTTAATTTATAATAATTTTTTTTGGCATGAACTAATAATTAAAATCTAATACTTTGCATAAATGTACATCTTTATTTATTGATAATGATTATATATATATATATATATATATATATTTGAGCATTTTGTTACTCTTTTAGTTTAACATTCTTGGTTACTATTTTTTCCTAAGGTTCTCTAATCATTTTTACATAGCTTTAAAATGGCTTCAAAAGCACATCACTATAAAGATACAACATATTTAGTGACATTATACTTGTATGGGGCATTCCTTTCTTGGGCTGTGGACTTATAGTGTATCAAGTACTTCATTAGCTCTCTCAATTTCCTTTCCTATGATAATATACCTCATGGATGTCCTAATAAAATTTTCTCATGTTCAACCAATGCAAGCATCTTAATAAAACATTATTCTATTTATTAAGTTTGAGCCGGACATAATTTTAAAATAATATAAATCTAAGTCCCATACTTCATCACTATTAGTGCACTCTATAAAAGTTTTCTCAAGGACCACATTCATGAAGTATTTATTTCCATCTAAATAGTCATCTATTAACTTACTGTTTATACTCATCTTCTTAAATTCCTCAGATAAAAATTCTTTAAATATCAACCTGATGATTATAGCTAATTCAAAAACTCAAAATATTTTGTTTCACTTCTAATATTGAACAAAATAGAGGATCCCTCATTCTCTTCAGTATTGATCATCCGCAATAATAATTAATGAATTTAAGGCCCCATTGAATAGCAATTTAAGAGATTTGAAAAAGCTATTAAAATGTGAATTCCTCATTCCTTCTAATAAGATCAATAAGCCTAAACTTGTCTAATAAGATTCTCCATTACACCATCCGTGTAATGTCTCTGTTTAGATATGATTCGAGTAGATATTTGTATGCATATAAAAAAATCTTCAATAAGTAAATTCCATATAAGATAATAAGGCCAAAATAAAATGGTTTGAAACATTGTCAAATAATGCTCAAATCTTGTTCAAATAATGTCAACATTATTTGAACAATGTTCGATTTTAGCTCAAACTTTATTCAAAGGTTGTTTCAATCATATTTGATCATTATTATTGTTTAAATCTTATTCAAATATTGCTCAAACTTTCTATCAAAACTAAGTCAAATCTTTTTCAAGTTCAAATAATGCCGGAATATGATTCAAATATATTTGTAAAAAGGTAATATGATATCTAATGACACACAGAGTTTAGGGTTTAGATTTCTATTGACTTACTCAAATCAAAATAATCAGAAGTATAACATCACTTTTAATAGATGATTAGAAGGTTGACATTGTTGGTGTAAAGCTTTCCTGCAAATTGATCATATGAGTTCTAAAATTGCTAAAAATGGAGAAGATGTTGGAAAGAGGTCTTAAGTTCTAAATGAATTATCTATATAATGTATGGACTTATACTCTATAACATGCATAACATTGATAGCATAAGTCCAATAAAATCTCTTGAAAGTTTGGGAGAGCTTTGAGAGAGTTTTCCAACTCCTATGATAATTTAAAGTGAAATAAATTTTCAAATATATTTATTTAAGAAAATAAATAATAATAATCTAAGTTTTTATTTGGGATAATTTTTTAACTGTTTCTTAAAGCATATTTTTAGTATCAAAATTAATTTTTTTTATAAAAAAATTATTTTAAGAAGCATAAAAAAAAACCGTCGCAAATAAAACCTAAGACTATTATGAGACATAAAAATTAAATTTCCCTCTATATAATTATTAGGAAGAAATTTTTGCCCAGGTATTTCGGCCGAAAACTGATCTTTGTAAAAATATATAATCCAAAGGGTTTTTCGGAATTCCCAAAAAAAAAAAAAAAATAAGGGTTTTTCGGAGAAACACCGCTTGATATAAATTAAAATTGATCCTGTTTTTACCAAAGTTTGGGTTGCAAGATATTTTGGCCACAGAAAAGCAATCCACCATTCCGTCGAGCACCCTCTTCCATTTCTGCTCTTACTGTTTTTCTACATGATCGGGAAATGGCGAACAGCATGTGCTCCTACCCGTGGGAGATCCCCTCAGCTGTAAGTTTATTATAATTTCTATATGTTTCCATTTTCTAGCAACCAAAAGCTGTTACCGTACTAGCGGGGGTATCCGTTTTTTATTGCCATTTAATTTTATAAGCGCTTGAATTTAAAAAAACCAGTTTTTAGGGGCAGTTAAAGAAGACATTTTGGAGTAGACGTTAAAATCTTCTGAAGAAATATATATATTTTTGGGGTTGAAGTGAGCAGAACGCTAAAATCTTTTGGAAAAAAAGGTTTTTTTTTATTGCTTTTCATGAAAAACCACCCTCGAGGCCTTACAGCTTATAGGGCTGAAGTGATGAAGCTATGGGGAGAAGGAGAGAGATAATGGCATGGTTAATCAGCGAGATATAAACTCTGAAGGTTGTGATACACAGTTGTAAGAAGGAATCAGCGAGATATTGCAGTGCTAACGAAGAGCCAGTGTTACCGATGCTTATAAAGGGGCCAACTTGCCCATTTTAAATTAGGAAAAAAATAGAAGGCACAACCGGTTTTTAGGGGTTATAGAGTGCATTTTCTTTCCTTCTTGCATCAAGTAATCACTGATTGATGAATCAAGTAGCTCAGCTTTAAAACATTACTTGAGTTTTTCTTTTGGCGTGGGTGTTGCTTGTGCTCTGGATATCATTGCAACCTCGGTTAAATTTGATTTTAAAGCCATTCCTCCCTTTTCTTATTCTTTTTTATGATTTGAGGAAGATGTCTGGCAAACTTGGTCATGTGACTAGCTCTCATTAGAGTTGCTGATCCAGCTGAGTCAACTTGTTTAATATATAAGTTCTAGCACAAGTTTCTTAATTTTCCATGGGAATCTAGGCCTCGTTTGGTTGGCTGTAAGTTCTACGTTTCCAATTTCAATTAGTGAAAATATTATTATTTTACTGTTTGTTTATGCGACTTTTTCAAAAGACCTTTTGCTACACCTCCGTATTTTCGCCGATCTGAGAAGAAAAAAAATTATACTTCCGTTGTAATACCTCCGTTTATGAACAAAAAAACGTCGGGGGAACCAAACGAGGTCCTAGTCGCTTCATCCAATAGTTTCTGTTGTTAAAGCCTTCTCTTCTTAATGCATTAGAAAATTGTGTACCTAAGCTTTTAAGGACCTAAATTTCTAATGGGCAGATGTCTTAAGAAAAAAATCAGGCAGAAAATGTCTGATGAAAGGCTGAAGATTTAAGTTCTAGGTACACATTTCTTAAATTTTCATAGGAATCTAGTTGCTCTATCAAATAAATTTCATTGTCAAAGCGTTTCCTTCTTAATGCCCTAGAAACTTATGGGGTACATACCTAAGCTCTTAAGAACCTAAATATTAGTTAACTAAGAGAATATCTAGGTGGATTTCTTAAGCAAAAATATTAGAAAGAAAAATGTGCCCAATGAAGGGTTGAAGATGCACCAATAAGATAGGTGAATAAAATTATGTTCAAAGGATTAGTAATAAAGATAGTAATGTGGATAGAAGTTGTGCGTAAAGACAAAAGAAAAAGAAAAATATTACTGGGAACTAATGAATAAACTGACCCCAAATAGTTGGGATAAGAATGGTAAAGATGGTGAGGATGCTGCAAGCAAGTTTGATAATCTTAAAAAATTGTCTTTTTCTATCTGAATTTTATCATTAGGAGTTTTGACTTTAGAATAAGATTGTAAACTATTATAAATTTTTCTTAAAAGATGCTTGATGGAAGCTTCATGCATTGAGCATGCTTACTCAAGGATGCATGCTATTTAGCCTATATCAATGGGATTGCTTTGATTTGATATATAGGTGAACTAAGCCTTAATTTTTAATTCATTGGAGCTCAAAAGTAATTGAACAATTTCTTTGTCCTTCTCTTGCATTGTCGCATCTAAATATATAATTCTATTGTTTTAAAATAAATAGCTATAGTGTGCTTTCTACTGGTTGGATTTATGAAAACTCTCTTTTCGCCAAATTTAGCATTAATGACTTCAGGATCCCTGTATTATACCTATAATTACTGATCAACATTTTGTGTAATTATATAATATTGAAAACTAAGGAAATGAAAAGGTGGGTAATAGATAGCAAATTGACTATTAGAAAATTTAATCCTAAAGTCAGTAGGTTACAGACACCCAATTCGCTTGCCAGGATCAATTGTGGATCTAATCTGAGTTTGTGCTAGTGAAATTAGGTAAACCTTTTAGGGAGACTTTGCCATAACATAATTTTGTCTGGTAAGTGACAAAGCTCATCCTGATATTTCATTGGAGGACTGGATTACTAGAATAACCATACAAAAGAAAAAATGGAAGAGGTCAGATACAGGACTGGATTACAGAATTGTCTGCAGAGGGAGTGTTCCAAAACTCCATTGTCTTCTTAATTTTAGTTCCATGCCCTAATTCTACCTAAGAGTGATCATTTACAGCATACAAGAAAACCTGATAACCCTCTGATAAGTGATAACCTAATAACAAATAGGTCTATAATTACATAATACCCACTAAATCACCCATTACATTTATTCCTAACAGCTCTACAATCTCTGCAGGTAAAGCTCAGGCACTTCTCAAGTTGTATTCGGGGTTTCAAGCAATATCCATCATGCATGAGATCATTTAGTGAGAAAAAGTTTGAGCACGCTCCAATATCGTTATCTTATGGATTGAGTGATTCTAAGAATAAGATCAGATGGGGAATGATTGTTGCTAGGAATTATGGTAAGAACGTTGCTGATGAACCAAGCAGTTCAGAATCTGTTACCACTGAAAACACAACTTCAAATGACCAGTTTTTATCATCTGAAGGCATGGAAGAAACTCCACCTCAAATGCCAAAACCAATTCTGAAGAGAGCACCTCTGACAGCAAGGGAGAAGCTCAGAGCTGCAAGGGTTCTCTCAAAATATACTGAATCAAAGCCCATAAAACCAGCAATGGGAAGCAAAGTTCTGGATGCTTTAAGAGAGACAGACAAAGGCAAGAAGCGCTCCGGCCTCCCTGAAGCTCCCACAAACTTGTTTGATGACAGCAATCGTGGATTATCGAAGGAAGGCTGGAAATTTCAGCTTCCTGGGGGCAATGATCTCTTCGTTGTTGCCTTCTCCTTTGTCTTCATCAGTACTGTAATGTTTGCAACGACTTATCTTGTCTGGAAAGTCGGTGCAATACATTTTAATGAATTCTAAGGTGGCAGAGGAATGAAAGGCTACCAAACGTCTCTCAGAATGTGCGGATAGGCCACTGAAAGTTACAGGAAAAGTATGAAATTGTAATACTCTTTGTGCTGCATAGCCTGCATGGTCATGATTTTTTGCTTGTAGAATTTCTGGTGAGTTGTAGACTCATAACTCTTTGTATTTATTATTATTCTCATAATCAAATCGTAGCCTGCATGGCCTTTTATTCTCATAATCAAAGAGAGGTGCGAAAACATAACATTAGAGATTGAAAGTTGGAGAGGTACTGTGGCATCAACGAGGAAGTATTTAGGGAATATTTTATTTCATAGCTCTAATATCATGTTTGAAGGGGAGAGAATTGAAATGGACTATATATTTACTAGATTGCCTTCATGGTACTATCATATATCTTTATGTAGCTGATATGGGAGGATAATAAAAGAAAATATAATAGATGAAAATATCATCAATAAAACAAAATATACAAAAATAACAACATCAAGTAATATCTATAATGGGGGATTAAATAACCATTAATATGCTTTGAAATAAATAAAATGCATGGAATTGCACATCATTAATCAAAACTTGTATTTCATTAATGTGAAAGCATCTTCAATGATAATTTGATCTCTCATTATAGAAATTTTACTTAGGACATCCTTAGCAATTTATTATCCTAACAGGGTGATGCGTTTGTCTTCAAGAGGGAATGATTTTTTTGCTAATACACCATGTATTGCTAAGTATTATTGTGTATTACTAAATATTCAAGTTTATATGAATACACAATACTTTTATACAGCTGTGCATTAGAGAAATTATGTTGAAAAGTATATATATATTTTTGCTAATACGCACTGTGTATTACAAAGTATTGGCGTATATTGTTATGATTTTGGCTTAAGCCTTAATGGCTTCATAGATTTGTTCAATTGAGAAGCAAACTAAATATATAATTATTTGATCTAAGTTTTATAAGTTTTTTGTAGGGGAATGAGATTCTGGATTGAAATTATTTGAAGTGAACTGCTGTATATTACTATGTACTATTGTGTATTGTTGTGCATTACTGTGTATTGATATGTATTACTATGTATTGATATGTATTAATGTATATTTTGCTTTGTATTTTATTTTGTATTGTTATGTATTTAAGCTTATATGAATTCAAAATATTTTATTTTGATCATTTGAAAGCTTTTTGAGCTTTTGCAAAGTTGTGTATTAAGAAAATTATGTTGAAAAATATGTTTTTTTGCTAATGTGCATTATGTATTGTTGTGTATTACTAAATATTCAAGTTTATATGAATACACAATATTTTATTTATTCATTTGAAAGCTTTTTGAGATTTTACACAGTTGTGTATTAGAGAAATTATGTTGAAAAATATAAGTTTTTTTTGCTAATACGCATTGTGTATTGCTATGATTTTAGCTTAAGCCTTAATGACCTCAAGGATTTGTTCAATTGGGAAGCAAACTAACAATATATTCATTTGATTTAAGTTTTATAAGTTTTTTTTAGGGGCATGAGATTGTGGAATAAAATTATTTGAGGTAGTTACATGTGAAGTGTTTAGTGAAAATACAAACTTATAAATAACCACCTTTATTATGTTATTGTGATATACTATTAGCATCATTTATAGTTATATACTTTTTTGTTTACAAATCAAATTGGACTTTTATATAACCTTGAATACATATCAATACACAATAATACATAATAAAATATACATTAATACATAACAAAATACAATAATACACATAAAAAAAAATGATACATATTAATACACAATAATACACAACAATGCACGGGAATACATAATAATACACAATAATACATTATAATATATAATAATACACAACTTGATATCGTGCATGAAAGTTCGAGGGGGTTGTTAAACCCTAAAGAACTAGTCTCGAGACTAATTAAGAGTGGGGGGAGAGAGAGAGAGAGAGAGAGAGAGAGAGAGAGAGAGAGAAGAGAGAGAGAGAGAGGAGAGAGAGAGAGAGAGAGAGAGTGAATTGGTTCAACAAAAAGAAAATCATATTCTTAAAGTTTTTTCAACATTTGAAAATAGATAATCAATACAACATAATATCAATCACAAATTTTTAACAAGCAGTTATTATCCAAAATAAATTAAAAAATAAAGCTCGAAAAATAAAATCAGAAAGAACACATCAAATTTATGGTGGTTCGGTCTCACACTTGACGCTACCGTCCAAGCCTCTCCCAGGAGGCCCCTCCCGCAAATTAGGGCTGCAACGAACCCAAACGTTTGACGAGCTTACCGTTGTTCGGTCGATTAAAGCTCGTTTGGATCAATTTAATTTAAATTAAACAAACAAACTTAACAATATTTTAAAAATAACCAATTCTTAAATAAATAAACTTGAACACTAATGTGTTCGGCTCATTTATGTTCACGAACAACATCATTTGAAGCTCATGAACAAACTCGACATTAAGCTCGACAAAAGCCTGATTCATATTCGATTTTGAACTTGTGAATAAGCTCGATAAAATTAATTAATATTTGATTATATAATATGCAACATGTAAGTTTTATTTAAAAATATATTCATATTTATTAATGTTATTTTCATTTTACATAAACAATTGCTTTTATTATAAATGTATTTGTTCATAGATATGTTCATGAACGTGTTTGTTTGATAGTTTAAAAAAAATTATAAAATATGTTCGCGAACATGCTTGATATAATCGTTTATTAGGAAGCTCGATAAAGCTCATTTGTTAAGTTAAAGAACATCTAAAAGTAGAGCTCGTTATAGCTCGTTCATGCTTGTTTGTTTAAAGCTCGAAAAGCACTAAACGAATCGAACATGAAATGAACATGAACTGAACATGAACACTCATTAATTTAAATGAACCAAACATGAACATAAATAATAAAGCTCGAACAAATATGAACCAAACTTGAACAAGCTGATATTAATGAACACAAACATGAACACTCACATACTCGACTCCGCTCGGTTCGTTTGCAGCCCTACTCCCAATATTGCACTAAACATTTAGTGACTCTCCTTTAGCCCCAACAGCTAGGCAGAGAAGCCCTTACAAAATCACTTCTACCTTCCCTGGTGCGTCGGAGTAGCAGAGTCCTTCGACACTAAAGAGATCTTCATCTTCCCAAAACTTCCCTCAAAACGAACAATGAATTCGATGGTACTAAGATGCAAGCTTGACGGAGCAACTATGTGAAATCCCCTCCACACTCTCTTGAAACCCCCTCCAAAGATCATCTCCCTCTTAAGCTCCATCCTTTCCTCTCTCCCTTTCAAGTTTTCTCTTCAAGTTTTCTCCAGAAGAACGAAGTCACAATGGCAGCCAAAGACACTTACAAAATGCCTTGAGAAAGATTAAATAGAGGGCTTAAAAAACCCTAAGAAATCAATTGTGAGACCTCGTTTCTAGGCTTTGGTGACCTGCTGGGCTTTGTAAGCTCATTATATGTGGTTAAGATTTTCAGGTCCGAGCAAGGAAACTGGAATGGAGTTCGATCAGAATGTCAGACGAATCCTTTCACTATTGATATCTGGGGCATCACATCAATTCTGGCGGCAAAGATTGTCAAGTATGATCGTAGGATTGTCTAGTATGATGTGCTTAAATAGAGGGCTTCAGGTCCTAAAAACTCAATTATTGCGCCAAATATCATCATGTACGATCTTAGAATCGTTTAGTACGATGTGCAGAATTTGACCTAATAGTCTTGGATGATCTCAGGATTATCCAGTATGATCAGTTCAAATTTATACATATCGTCCAATACGATATCGGGGATCGTCTTGAATAATTAGAAGAAAAATTATGGTATTTCATCTAGGTCAATTAAGTATCATCCCATGTACCTTTCAAGTCGTCCAATACGATCTTCATTGATCGTTCTCAACGATCGGATTGAACACATTAACCATAACTAGTTCCCTAATCATAAGATTAATTTAGACATGATTGTCATAGATCATCCAATACGATGTACATCGTCCTAGATGATTAAAACAAAATATGAAATTCAAAACCTTAACTAAATTATGATTGTCGGCTATTTTTCATGATCATAACTGATCATGCTAGACGATCTAAATCGTCGAGTATGATTAGTTGAAGAGTTGATCGTACAATACAATATAAATTGTACAGTACGATTAGTTCAAAATTGAACTTCTGGTTTTGACACAATCTCACTCTCCTTGAGTGTGTGTGTGCATGATCACCAAACAAGCATACACCCTTATAGGACTTGACTCAAGAAATAAAAAATACATTAATGAATATTACAAAAAATGTTACAGCAAAACATATTCTAGACAAACTTAAATCTTGAATCTTCGTTAGATGGTGCACGGTGTTCCTAAAACGTTAGTATACACTTAAACAAAAATATATTGTAAATACAAGTAGACAATAGGATGTGAGCCACAATGTTTGTTCTCATCAAAAATATAAACTCGTGAGCTCGAATTGCAATAGTGCAAAAAAGCATCAAAATACATAATAATTTATCGTTGGAAAATGTATTGATGTGTACAAGCTTTGATATAATGCAAAAATATCACATAAAAGAAAGAAGAAAAATACATAATAATTATATATGAGAGAATAAATGAACTTCCAAAAAAAATATAATTTTACATAGTTGATTTGCAAAACATGCATTTTTGTGACATTCGACATATAAAAGAATACATTCTAAGTTAATGTGTGCGCCACATCACAGCAAACACATGCAACATCATATAAAACACATAAACGATTGTTGCATAGTTTATAAATTCCTCATTGAAGATTTCAAGCTTGTTTGAGAACTTGAGCTATTTGGAAGGTGAAAAAAGTTATGTTGTATTTGTCTCTACGATAAATTTCTCTATTGAAAAATTAAGCTCAACAGAACGTATATTGCCTCATAATATACATTGAAAAGTAATTATTAGGTAAGTAAGTTTCATCTTATTCTTAAGTTTTTTCTTCTTTCTCAATGAACCTTCAGAGAATGTGACGTCAGTCAAATCTATTTCCATCTTCATGACGTGTTTCTCGTTTTTCTTTCTCAAAAGGTACCCAAAATTTTATTTCGTAAAAATCCTAAATATTTGGGAGCTATAAAATGCTCAGGATTTGCTCGGTATTGCTAAGGATTTGCTCGGTATTGCTAGGTATTTGCTCGGTATGGCTAGAAAAAACTAGGTACAACTCGATATTTGCTAGGTATTTGAAATATATCCAAAAGGTGATGGGATGTTGTTCGGCTCGTCAAGGATTTTTAAAAACACACGCGCTAGAACCCAAAAAACAGCGGGTCGGGTCGGCGACTTTTCTTCATGCTACGTGTCGCTAAAATATTGGTGGCCGAACGTAGAGGAGCGTACGTTCACCGGACCAAATAAAAGTTCGTTAATATGCCTATTGCTTCGTTACCGTGCTTTGAATTTAGTTATAGGTTTTGGTGACCTGCTGAGCTTTTTAAGCTCATTACATGTGGTTAAATGACTTCATGTCAAGGCAGGGGAGCAGGAGTGTGAGGCTAGTCATAATTATTCAGGTTATATTTTTTTTAGTTATTCTTTTGTACTAAGGACAAGATATAATTATGATATAAATATGTAGATCCTGAGTACTATATATGATTTTGAGAAAGAATATAAATGTGTAAATTGATATATTAAATTATAAAATATGTTTTATTGTTTATTACTGATAGATGATATTGGATAACTCTGGTTGTTGTTTATTTAAAAAATAAATAAATAATTCTTGTAATTTAGATTTTGGGGCATCACAATTACATAAGAAGTGTTTAGTAAAAATACAATCTTATAAATAATATCGTTTATTATGTACTTTTGGTATACTATTAACATCCTTAATAGTTATCTGTTTTTTATTTGCAAAACAATTTGAGATTTTATGCAAGCTTGAATACATAATAATACACAACAATACAAACTAAAATACACAATAAAATACACAACAATGCACAGTAAAATACACAATAATACTGTAAAATACATAGTAATACACAACAATACACAATAATACATAGCAAAATATATAGCACTACACAGTAAAATATACAACAATACATAGTAACACACAATAATGCACAATAATACACAACAATACACAACAATGCATTATAATACACAATAAGACATATCAATACACATCAATACACAAAAATATATAGTAATACATAACAATACACAATAATACACAGCTTGATATCATGCAAAAAAAAAAACGTCAAAATACATAATAATTTTTTTGTTGGAAAATGTATTGATGTGTACAAGTTTTGATATCATTCAAAAAAGTATCAAAATGAACAAAAATATCACATAAATGAAAGAGAAAAAATACATAATAATTACATATGAGAGAATAAATGAACTTCCAAAAAAGTATCATTTTACATGAAATTTTACATAGTTGATTTATAGAAGCATGTGTTTTCGAGGCATTCGACATATAAAAGAATACATTCTAATTTAATGTGCGTGCAACATCACAGAAAACATATAAGTCATTACTGCCCAGTTTGTAAATTGCTCATTGAAGATTTCAAGCTTGTTTTAGAACTTGAGCTATCTTGAAGGTGAACACAGTTTTGTTGTATTTGCCTATACGACATATTTATTTATTGAAAAATTAAGCTCAACAAAATATATATTGTCTCATAATATACATTGATAACTAATTATTAGTCAAGTAATTTTTTTCTTATTCTTGAACTTTTCCTTCATTTCTAATGATCCTTTAGAGAATTTGATGTCCTCCAAATCAATTTCCATCTTCATCAGGTGTTGCTCGTTTTTCTTTCTCAAAAGGTACCCAAAGTTTTATTTCTTAATAGCCATAAATATTTGTGAGCTATTGCAAGTTTTTTTTTTAACATAAAAATGAGTGAATTGTCGTGATTTCAAAAATTTCATGACTGAGCATAAACAAAAAAATAAGAAATCTACGTGTCACTATTTTATTGGAATCCGAACGTAGAGGTACATCCGAACTCCACATGTAATAATTTTTCCTACAAATGATATAATTTTCTATTTCCAAGAGCACTATTCTCTTTTGAATACACTATATTTATAGTCATCAATTTCAAAATAAAAAATGATTTAAATAAACATTCCAAAAATTATTTAGCAAGTTGAGCTTTTCAAATTTCATAATAACTTTTATGTTATTTGGAACCACTTTTTTACTGCTTAATTTTTCATGTAGTAATCACAATTTTTATTTGATCATTATTTTTTTACCACTTTCAAATTTTTTTATACTAGGAAATTATTTTTTACAACTTTAAAAAATAACTTTATTTGTAGCTATTTTACAAAACAATAATAAAATCATCTCAAATGAAATCTTAATCATTCATTAATAAAAAACGGACAACTAATGAGATATAGAAACCTTCATAAAATTTATTACTAAAACTTCATCAATCTATCAATCAATAAACTTATCAAATACACACTAAATATCATCAATTAGACCTGCATTTAACTTCAAATTATTTTAAAATATCCACTTCAAAACTGAAATTATTTTCTCATGCAATTAGATGTATCTGTTGTATCTGTTCCACTCTGCTGGGAGCATTGGATGTGACCATGTAAATCCCTACAAAAGAAAAATAAAATATATACAATCACTCTCTGTGATGGAGGAATAAAATAAAGACATACATTTTACAACACAAACAGGTTTTAAAGGCAACCACATTACCTAAAAGAATAAACTTTCTATACTCAACATGAAAATTTTCCTGCTGAAAAACATCCTCATGATATATTATTCACAAGAAAAAAATTGCCGTCCCAATCCTATAAGATCTAAAGAAATTATTACATCTTCCAAAATGAATTTTTCCGCCCCCCCAAAATAGTAATCCCACCGCTCTATAATGAATAAAGTACCACTGAACCAAAAAAATCAGCAAAATCCATCTTGCTAGCTCTGCAGCTTGCAATCTCTAATATAAGGATGTAGAAAATCTATGTGACGCCACCAAAGATGTTTGTACCTACTAATTCCCAGCTTCAGCCATGGCTTCATATTCCCATTAAAGTGCACAGTTGCAGCACTCTGTATCAACCTACTATCGATCTCGAAGTCGAATCCCAAGCCCAATACATGCCATCTTCTGTCAAGTGGAACCATGAGTCCATAAAATGAAAGGAGGCCGGCCGGCAGAGTTCCCTCCTTCCAAATCATGCCATCTGCATTCTTTTGTAACCAGTAGTGAAACTTCGCGGTCGCATTAGCTTTCTTCCATGCTATCAGGTCCACCACATTGAGCCCGAATGCCCAACCACAGGCTTGCGGATCAAATGCCGAGCTGATCAATGGATGAGAAAAGTTGACATAGTTATGAAGTCGGTGGAATGAGTCGAGGCAAGTCTCCACTGCTCCAATAACACTTCCATGCATATTCAGGGAGAAGAGAGGAGTCAAATCCCTTTGGACGACGATGTCATCATCAAGAAGCACTACCCTCTCCAGCAACGGGTGGATTTCGGGGATGTAGAACCGCAAGTATTTGAGCAGTGAAAGAGACCTTGTATGCCAATTTTGTGTTTCTGCACTTGCTAGTTGTTTAAACAATGGTGAGGAAGATTCATTCAACCAAGAGAATTCTTCAACGCTTCTCACCACCACAGTACACCCTTTGAAGTCGTTCTTTAGAAACCACGCAGCCATTGCTTGGTAATTGGTGGTATCTGTGACCAAGTGAAAAACAAGCTGTTGTGGGTGCTTTACATTTGCAATGGTAGAATTCACAACAACAGAAGCTGCAAGCACATTATCGGAGAACAAACAGAAGTGGTATAGGTTGATATCCATTAGACGGAGGGAGTGCTGCTGCTCTTCAGCAAGCAGTCTTAGGGGAGGTTCTTCAAACCAATCTTTAGTGAGCTTAACATTAACACATTGGAGATTCTTGGGCAAAGATTCAGCGGCTAATCTGCCAAATGCCGCACTCTGCACAGTTGCTACAATGACACGCTCTTCGAGGGCTTGGACGTGGCTCCTCAGAGTTGAGATTGTGGTGCTTATGTCATAGTGGTAGTTTAGAGCTTTGTTGATTAATTTTGATAGCTGAGTGGCAACAGGCCGGGCTTCAACAAGTGTGATACGCTTACCATTGACTGCTGCTTGAGAAAGTAATCTTTGACAGTTCCTGATCTGTGAGCTTAGCTCAGCAGCAAAATCAAAGTTTCCATGCTCCTTTGCAATGATTAGATAAGCTTTTGATAGTGTCATCTGGTCAGCCAATTGCCGGGTAAGTGATGTGCTGGTCAACAAGTCTTCTGTAAAGTTCATCCTCTCAATAGGAACATCCTTAAATTCTGTACTTTTCACCTAGAAAAGAAAAACATCAAATAAAAAAAAAAAAAACAGACAATTGAGAAACCAAACATGAAAATGGTACCTGAGAATACCAAAAATAATCAAGTGTTATAAAAGATAAATGGAAACATAATTAACCCATAGATGCAATGATGCTCTAACTTATACACAAATCAGGGACACATATTTATCTCCATTTTCTGTTAGCAAATTTATCAATAAAGCAATAAAGAAGTTTTAGGAAAGAATTAAACCCTGAACAAAACAGTTAATGGCCAAGATTTTTGCATACTAATGAATAATGATGACATTCACCAACACTTGCTTATAACTGTTGATTTGGAAATCTTTCCAAATCTAGATTGGCCTTGATTTTGAAGGCTTTGATGGATCATTATATAATTGATTAGGGAGTTGATTATTTCTCTTGGAGATTTGATTGAGGTATTAATTAGGGGATCTGATTATAGTATAAATTGAGAGATTAAATTAGCATGATCAGGAGAACTAATTGGCAAGATTAGATTTTTCCATATTATAACATTAATTAAAGTTTCATTTGTTCAAATATTTAAATAGGACTTGAGGGCTATTTTATTATAAGAATGAGAAGAAGAGAGAACTAGAGAGCCAAATTGTAATTCCTATTGTTCTCAAATATAGTGAAATCATCATCCCCTCTCCGTAGACGTACGCATCTTCGTTGAACCATGTAAATCATCGTGTTCTTTCGTTTGGTTGTGTGATCTGTGTTGTTTTCGCTGTGTATTGCACAACAATTGGTATCAGAGTTGGATTTTGGTGGAATTTCTGGTGGCGGTTTGAAGAACGGGAGAAAATCTCTGAGACGTGATTTGGTCAGATCGAGCAAGCAGAGGCTCCTGATTTTTGTTCTGGATTGTTGCTGAGCCGGATTGGTGTAATTCCGGTGTCATAAAGCAGCTGCAATTTGGTGGAGGTTATAAGATCCGTTGGAGCCATAGATACATCCACTTTGACAGTGGAGAAGGTAGCGATCTATCAGGAGGTTACACATCCCATTAAAATTGATGTGATGAAATTGACGGCAAATGAAACTTTGGCATGTGGCAATGTGAGGTGATAGATGTGCTGTGCTTTTTGAATCTAGAGGATGTTCTGGATAACGATGAATGTCCTGAAGAGATGTCTGAGAGAGATTGACTGAAGATGAACCAGAATGCTTGTGACTTGATAATAAATTGTCTATCTTAGGAGATCATGTATGAGATGATGATAAAGACTTCTGCTGTAAAGTTATGAAAGACTTTGTAGAACAAATATCTAACAAAAAGTATGGAGAATCGTCTTTATATGAAACGGCAGCTCTATATGTTTCATATGAGACATGGGATTACAATTGATGAGCATTTGAATGACTTCACAAAGCTGTTGGCAGATCTTTTGAATATGGATGAGGATGTTGGAGATGAAGACAAGGCGCCCCTCTATTGAATTCGCTCACGGATGAGTACAAAAACTTCATAATGACACTCATTCATATGAAGTAGTCTTGAACTACGGTGAGGGGACCACTGTGTTGTTGAATCACGAATTCCAGCATCAGGACAAGGAATATGCAATGATGATTTGGCTGAGGCTCTCATACTCCAACAAGGAAGATCAGAGACGAAGAAAAAGGGCAGTAACAAGCGAGGCAAGTCTCATGGGTGCAGTCTTTGAAAGACTCAATATGATTTATGTTTGGAGACTGGTCATTAAAAGAATGATTGTTCGAAGCTGAAGGAAAAAGGAAATGAAGTTTCCACTAAGGCTAAGGCAACCCTTAGCATGGAATAGCCTGATGAAGATTTAGTTGTATCACTATATGTAGTTTCACAGAGTTTGTATTCAGATGGTTAATGCTGGATTCTGAATATTGGTGCTACCTATCACATTTGTCATATTGGTTCTATACCTACAAGGAGCTTGATAGTAGTGTTAAGACCATGGGAAATGATCAAACTTGTTGTATAGTTGGTATAGGGAGCATCTTCATCAGAATACATGATGGTACTGTGAGAGAACTGACTAATGTGAGACATGTTCCAAATATCAAGAAGAGTTTACTGTCTGTTGGGGCTTTAGAGACTAAGGGAAACAAGATAGTTATTGAGGATTTAGACACCAAGGGATACAAGATAGTCATTGAGATAGGAGTTTTGAAGATATATCATGGAGCGTTGATTTTTCTGAAAGGAGTTCGTCACCATAATCTTTACTACATTTAGGGAAAAAACGTGGTTGGAACAGCTACTGTTGTTGATGATTCTTCTGATGCCGCTATGTTATGGAATATGCAGCTAACTCATGCTGGAGAGACTTCTCTTATGACTTTGGTGAAATAATGATTGATCAAAAGAACAAGCACAAGCAAGCTTGATCTTTGTGAACATTATGTGTAATAAAACAAGGGTATCCTTTAGTACCGCCATCCACAATACAAAGGGTATCATGGAGTATGTTCACAAAGATATTTGAAGCTCGATGAAAATAGCATCATTCGGCGGATGGCAATACTGTTTCTTTTATTGATGATTACTTCAAATATGTTTGGGTGTACACCATGAGGCGCAAGAGCGAGGAACTAGAGATTTTCAAAGCTTATAAAAAGTGGATTGAAACTTAGACTCATAAAAGGTTTCAATGTATTAGATCAGGCAATGGGCAAATACACTTCAGATGCATTATTGCAGGAGTGTTAGAGTATGGGATAGAGCATCATTTCACTGTTAGAGAGATACCGTAGCAGAACAGGGTGCCAGAGAGGATGAATCAAACTTTGATGGAGAAAGTTAGGTGTATGTTATCCAATACTGTGTTGGATAGAATCTATTGGGCTGAGGCGATAGACTATGCATTTCATTTGGTGAACCATCTGCCTTCTGTAGCTATTGGGAACAAGACCCCAAAGGAGATGTGGTTAGATCATCCTGCTAGAGATTATGATCACTTGGAGAGTGTTTCAGTTTTCAATTTATTATCATGTTCAGAATGATAAATTGGAACCGCGTGCAAGGAATATGATCTTTATTGGCTTCAAGCATGAAGTCACGAGCTTCAAACTTTATGAACCAATAGTGAAGAAGATTATCGTTAGCAGGGATGTTACTTTCGATGAGGTGAGCATGTTGAAGCCTCTGGACTTGAAGCAAGTGGAGGGATCTATTGGGAGCACATATGCACTGCATAAATTGGAGTTTGATGCAACTTCATTTGTTCCACATAAGCCTATCATTTCTACCCAGGTACCTGATTCAGCTGCAAATCAAGAGATAGAAAATGATGTTGAGGATGCGATTCTTGTTCATGAATCTATTGCGAAGAATAGGACCAGGCGCCGGAATATCTCAAAACCAGCTTGGTTGAGGGTCACATTGCATTTACACTTTCAACCACGGAGGCTGAAGTTCCTAGTCACTACAATGAAGCAGTGGACAATCCTGATGGTGATCTTTGGAGAAGGCTATGGATGAAGAGGAGTCTCTTCAGAAGAATGTTATTGGGAGGTTAGTGAAGCTTTCTCCAGGAAGAAAATCCATTTGGTGCAAATGGGAGTGTGCAAAGAAGGATGGATCTCATGGAGCTCATGTGCGGTACATGACTAGGTGGCAAAAGGCTCTTCACAATAGGAAGGGATTTCTTATGATGATGTGTTCTACCCAGTGGTTAAGCATCTCTCGACCCGTGTTCACTTGTGTAAGAACCGGTTCAGCTAGCCGGTTCAAAGGAACCAGTTTTTTTATCAAACAGACGAACCAAATGGGCAACTACGGAGTAGACATGATCTGAGCAGTCTCGTGCGGTGTGTATACGCCTATTTGATGGATTTTCCATCGTTTTAACTGATTAATCGCGTGCACGAGTGAGAAATAATGACTTCTCATGAGTTATATCTTTGTTTCACTCGTTCTTTTTCGTTGTTATCATTGAAGAAGCAAACTGAGAGAAGAGGAGTATAGAGTGGAAGAGGAAGGTATGTTCATCAAATTTTTTTATTTATTTCTGTGCAAATCATCATATGATTTCTAATCAAAACAAGGATGAATGTTCAGTTAAAGGTAAGGGAGAAAATCTGGAAAAGAAAGAAAAAGAATTTGGGTGTTTTTTTTAGAATTCTTTCTTAAGGAAAAAAAAGTGATTTGATTTGAGGTTATATACTTTCAATTTTCGTTTCTTTAGTTGAATAAATAATAAGAAAATATATTTTGATTTTTATGTTGGAAGAATCCAAGTGATATAAACTTTGGTTCGATGGTGGAGGAAGTAAGAATTTCAAGGAATGAAGGGAAGTTTTGGTGAGATGAATTGTATTGGAAAAAGAGATATTTTATCAAATATAAAAATAAATATAAAAAGAAAGAGAATAAATTTTATTGCTAAATTAAAATTCAAGCAATAATTGGATATATTTAATAAATAATTAATCAAGAGGGTGAGAGAAGTTCCAATCAATAATATTTGAGACGTTAATTTAAAATTGAAATTTATAATAATTAATTATAAATAATAAGTTAGAGAAATTTAATGAAGTGGAGTGATCTTTTATAGGGGTTTTAAATCAACCCATCATTGGAATAAAGAATAAAAGTGAAGCAGCGTATTTCTTAAGTTCAAGGTGAGTATTCATATCTTTTAATTATAATAATGATATTTGTTTTTTCCTATATATAATGTATCAAGTACTATTATTATCTAATTATTTACTATTAATGTTACATGTTTTTTCTTTATTAAAGACAATTGATCATTTTAAATTAAAAGACTTAGATTTATATCATAGAAATATCATTTATCCTATATTATCATGATGCTTATTATATAATTCAATATGAAATGATATGGAGAAAGTAAATGATATGATTTATTTAGTATGCTTTCACGTGCATGTTGACTGATGGAGCACACTCCTTTATGGTACTAACTAGGGACACAATGTACCCCGGCACATTAATGAAAAAGGTTATGGAAAAGGAAAATAAAAAATAGTACCT